ATTCCCTTGCTTTATTTTTTTTTTTTTTTTTTTGGTATCAGGGATCGAACTCGGGCTCTCGTGCTTGTGAGGCAGGCGCTGGAACCACTAAGCTAAACCCCCAGCCCATCCCTTGCTTAATATTAAAGATGTCCCCTCCATTATTCCAGGCAGATACTATAAAAAGATAAGGGAGTCATTCTGCATTGCCCTATGTTCACCTCCAGGCCAAGCCACCCTGATAGCAAAGTTTATGGGGCAGGCAGAATAATGCTCCAAGGACATCCATGTCATAGCCCTGTGAGTATGTGAGGTTACACAGCAAGGGAGAAGTAAGGTTGCAAGTGAATTTACCCTGCTACTCAGCAGACCGTAAAGTGGGGAGAATATCCTGAATTATCTGTGAGGGCTCAATGTAATCACAAGCATCCATGAGGGTACAGGAGGATGGTACAAGACGTCAGAGTGACACATGAGAGTCACTCAGCCAGCTGTTTCTGGCTTTGAAAATGGAGCTGCACACACCTGTAGTCCCAGCACTAGGAGGCAGAAGCAGGAGGATCGCTGCGAGTTCAAGACTAGCCTGGGCTACACAGTTTAGGGCTAGCCTGAACTACTTACTTGGCATGAAACTGTCTCAAAAAATAAATAAAATAAAAATTAAAAATGGAGCTACAAGCCAAAGAATACAGGTGGCCTGGAGAAGTTGAGAAAGGCAAGGAAATGCATTCTCCCAGAGCCTCCAGAAGGCACACAACTCTACAGACACCATGCTTTTAGTTCAGGGGACTCAAGTCAGACTTCTGCCCTGTAGAACTCTAAATAAAAATGTACTGTTTTGAGCCAGTAGGTGTGTGACAATTTGTTACAGAAGCTGGAGGGAACTAATACAGTGGCAAACAGTGCGCAGCTACACCCCTCTCAGCGCCCCATGCGGGACAACTCACCTGACCTCCTTGGCCCAGCATCATTTGGGTCTTCAACCCTCATGCAAACACCTACCCACGCCCACTACCATAGCCTCTGTCTAGGCTGCACTTGGAATACCCAAAGCTGGGGGGTGGAAATCTCCTCCCCATGTCTTCCCAGCACCTGACATTCAGTATATTATTAACACTTCATATGAGTGTATAACACTTACATGATGCTTAAGATGAATGTACATTTCTATTCATTTGTCTTCCTCGTGAGCAACTGAGGTGTATCCCTGGCTCTACCTAGCATAGGGACTCACTCAGAGAAGGTGCCCAGGAAATGCTACTGGATCATATATGAATGGCTTCTGTCCCCTACATTCTGCGTTACCACAGATAACTGCCAGGCTATTCCAGTGAGGGATGGAAAAGCAAGTCCCTCCCCAACCTCAGTGTCCATCAGGGAGCAGCCCACCTCTGCCTCCATGGAGAGGCAGTTCTGTGTCCCTCTGAAAACAGAGCCTCTTCTGTGGTCAGACACGTGACACAGTGAAGGGTCAAAGGAGAGGTATTGGGGTTCACTGAGTAAAGCTAATCCAATAATTGGGGAAACACTGGTTAATGATTGGTTGAAACACTGTATGTTCCTTGGCAAAAGCATTCAGAGATCCTGAAGGCCAAGTCAAGCGTGGTCAGGCATAATGGGGCTGAGAATGGGTCCTTTCCCACTGCTTTCCTCCTCCTCAGCACATCCTTTATACGGCTCCATTGGCACTCCCAAAACAGTGGGTCATGCCGCCTTCCCACTGTCTTTCCTGGGCCTGGAAGATAAAGTCCAGATTCAGCAGGCAAGACCCTTGACACGTGGGCTCAAAACCCTTTCCAACCTCATCACCTCCAAAACCCATTAAGCACTGGCACACTTCCCACTTCCTACCCTCTAGGCCTTGCCTTAAATTAATGGACTCAGCCAGGGGCCAAGGATTTAGCTCAGTAGCATCCCACCTGCCTCAAAAGCCCAAGATCCTGAGTTGGATCCCCAGTACCAAAAAAAAAAAAAAAAAATTAGTGGACTCAGCCCCACCCAGTGGGGAATATGCCTTTAGTCCCAGCTGCTCAGGACAGACAGGAAGATAATTAAAGCCCAGCCGTTCAAGACCTACCTGAACAACATAGTGAGAATCACTTAATCTTAACAACAACAACAACATAATAATTTCATACAATTGGAGTGTTCTCTCCACCCACCAATGAAAAGTCCCCCATTCCTCAGGACCCATCTCAACTGCCAACTCCTTAAGAAAGCCTCTTCCCCTAATCCCCTGACTTCATCAGTTCCCTCCGCGGCACATTCTGTACGAATTTCAACTGTAGTGTAGGTAAAAGATCTACTTTATAACTCAGAATGACAGGTATGAATCTCAACCTAAGTGAACATAAAATAGCACATAGCTTGGTCCTCCCCTGCCCTGCCGGGAGCTGCAAAGTTCCCTGGGCTCAGGTGACACTAAAAGTAACTGCGCGGGAGGGTGGGCGCCCGGTTCCTGGGCTCAGGGTCTCTCCACCACCGTCCCGTCACATCGGAACCCGGGAGGGGCACCGAATCTGCAGAACCTGTTTCCCATGCTGTCCCGGGGTTTTCTCGGCTTCCCCTGTTAGGGACCCCATCGGAACCCGCCTCTCCACTTGGTCCTTCCCAGCACTCTGCCTCGCCCCTCAGGCCCAGTCCTCTTCCTTGTCCTTTGGAAACAGATTTTTTTATTGCCCAGCAAACCTAAAGTTAAATCACTAGCAACAGAAATAGCGGCACTTTCTTACAATGAAAGAAGCATTTAATCTTCAAACTCTCCCCGGCTGAGATCTGTTTCCATCCACTAGCACCATACGAAGGTCAAGGGCGATTCATTTCCAAGTCAGCCGAAGCAGCCCCCCAGACTCTGAAGGTCCGG